TGGCAAGTTGGGGTGAAATGACCACAGATGCCAAGTTCCCGGTGCCTGTCGCTGAATTCCGGTTGGTTGCGGATGTAGCCACAGAAGAAGTGATAGACGGAGTGGATGACGACGTTCCGTTGGAAATTGTCACTTTACTAGGAGCGAGGGCAGAAATAGGAACACCCACCGGACTTGACGCAGAGCTGCTCGTTGAGACCGTAGAGTTTCCCGAGTTGACTTGAACGTGAATTGGAGTAAATGTATTGCTCGTGGAATTAGAAGTAGGGTTGGCTGGTGTGGCCGCAAGAATCAAAGGGAACAACTGAGGACTGGCGATAGATGTAGTTTGACTACCAAAATGGGACAGCGAAGGCAACTGGGATTGCTGGGAATAACGCTCTGGTTCAGGGAACACAGAAATGGCTTGTGTTCCGTCGACTGACGGTGTTGTAGACTGCTGTGTACCGACCAAAACGCGTGGATAAAATGGTGCAGTTTTTGAGGAATCAACAGAGGGGTTGGCACTCAGAAGACAACCAGAAATGTGCAATGAAGTTGTTTTTGCCGCTGGTGAATCCACACTTTCACGGGGATTAGTGGTCAATGGGGAAATTGTGAAAACCGGAGTGTTTGCTCCAATATGAGAGGCATGCAGCAGTTCTGAATTAGGGTAAGAGGAAACAGGTCGTGTTGTGAAGATATGATAGGAAGATATGATAGGAAATAGAAAATAAAATGGGAGCTTGTTTTATTCATGACGAGCTCATAATTGGTTGTTGGCAGTTTGCAGCTGAGTGGACAGTTGAATTTTGTTCGCACTAGCACAGAATCACTGGAACGTTATTCCACTCATAGCAATTTAAGATTAACAAGTGGCAATGCTCGAAACACGATTATCATTAGTGTTTAATGAGGAGCATCCAAAATTTCTCACTGATATCTGGGATACCCACCGACAACAATGTCATCTTAACTGAAAATGATCGTGGTTACGAACGACAAAAACAACTATGGACATTCGACTAAGTAATATTTGGTACGAATCGCTTGATTATAGTGCCGCAACTGAAGGACACGTGGTTAATACCATAACTGGATACCCTCGGGTTAAGCAGAGCTGCATGCTACCAGGCGCGTCCCCGGGTTATGGATATGGGGATACCTTCACAGAAGGTTAGCTGTGAATAAGTTGTGGCATACCGCAACAAATAAGCAGTCACGAACAAACAGCGGCGGCACTACCAGGGTGTGGTGGGTTTCAGGCTGGTCACTTGGCTCTTGTTTAAAAGCCGCATAAGCCCAATGACGGTGTCGTGACAAAGGTCGACCTGACTGGCCTTTTAAAACTAGTTATTGACCCCCTCACTTCCCAGGCGAGGGATTACTTCCTTCTGCCTTGCAGTTGGCACTTGGTTGTGCAAAGGCTAGAGGTGCGCCCTCAAAATAAAAAAACGCCGAGTGACGCTAGGGAGGTCTCTCGTACCAAACTCCCAAGGAACTTCATGATCATGATCATGTCTGGAGCTGGCTATCCTTTCCAAGGAGCCAGCCGCAGTAAAGTAAAGTAAGTAAAGATACTGATTAAGCACTGCTCGAAAACACTGATGTTCCAAGTGGTCCCAGTTTGAAGGAGAATTTCGTCTATCAGTTGCACAAGAACTACACTTTCTCGTGTGCACCTTCATGGGAAACCAATCGAATGAAAGTTTATCATTTATACTGTTATTAGGCATTTATTCAAGGGTATCACCTGGATGTTTTTTAACGAAGTCTGCTGGAGGTAAATAAAAACATTTGAGGATGGTAAATTAAAAGTCGGGTTCTATATTCATCAACGTTAGTAGTTGGAAGGACAGTTCAGTTTCAATCAGTTCAACTCCTTAGTTAACTGTAGGGAGTGAAATTAGTGGTAATTCAGGGGTTAGATTTTCAGTGCGTCATGGATTGCTTTGAAGCAGTTTTCATCTCAGCGAGAAATGAATTATTTTACTAACCATGCTTTCGTTATTATACGATGGCGTGGTTGATCCTTGGTACTTTTAAGCGACTTCTTCCCATTTGAGATATCCCCAAATCACAGATTTCTTTGGGGATGCAACTATGTAACCCTCACAAGGACAGGTGCTACGACATCTGTATACTAATAGCTGAAGCCAAGTCCAAGCTTACGTCGCTTGTACGTCTGAGATTACCACAGAAATCAGTGTTCATCAGGGTTGCCCTCCTTTTCTTTTTCTATCCATTTTTGTTACAGATTTGATTCTGGAAACAAACCTGTCCTAGTGCGATGTCACCGATTTGCCCTCGGCGACAAATCCCTGATCTGAGGTACGCAGACGACATTGTAAGGCAAAGTGAAGTTCCAGATAAGTTTCTGAATGGTCTGTGTGCTAGTGTAGCCATGTTCAGCTTCTTCAAACTAAAATGTTGTAACTGGACTGGGTTAACCTAGCCCCAACTACACTACAACATTTTACATACATCTGAAGCCAGACTGTGCCAAACAAATCATGGTACAATAGTCTTTATAAAAAAGAAAAACGTTCCATGATTGGCTTGTGGGCTGAATACTGCCAAGTTGCCCAGGCCAAGGCAGGTGAATTTTCTTAAGAAATCCACAACCAAAGCCTGGCCCTGAAGGCAGCGAGGCGGTGTGAAAACCGCAGTCCATTGGGAGCCGGTGGCCGGTTCATCGGATCATGCTCCCTTCGGATGGAGTCAGACGTCCAAGGTGCGCAATACACTTCAATGACCAATCGAGCCGATGACCACTGCCATAATCGAAAAGGTGTAGCTTTGGTTCGTACGCCTCCCTTTAGTTGGTTTGGAATCAGGATTTTTAGCCATCTCCCCTAGGTGAACTACCACTGATCCACCAACCAGGTTATAGCCCCGGATATCGGCTTTTGGCTCTCTCACTTTGGTGGGAAAACACCGCCACGAGAAGGTAGTTAGTAGGGCTTCCTCAGCAGAGGCTATTCGAGAAGTTTGGTCGTATGGGAGCATTTCGCGAGGTGCAAGGGTGACCATCTGCAAAACTAGGCACCCACCCCCGACCATAGAGACTTTTGGACACAGAAGGCTGGATTGGCATTTACCAAGATAGGACATTTTTGGCGCTGTCATTATCATCAATTGTGCACTGAAACAGTGAGACGAACTTCAATTAGTGCTGCCCATCTCCTAATGCATACCAGTTGCGAGGTGCAAGGTGTACAGGGCTAAAACCGATTTGGAGGGATGGAGAAAGAAAGCGAAATTATCAACCCTCAGAGTAGACCGCTTAACTATACATACACACTATTTCAAGTATCCCGATCTGATAAGTGACAACAAGAATACCACCGCTTTCGGTTTGCTATTATGATCTTAGGTGTTTCCAAAAATCCAGTTACGGAGTCTGTCGGACCCCAATTTGGGAGGCGAGAGAAACCTACTATAACAGCCCTGTGCATTCCTTCATGCCTTCACGGTGCTGTCACAACATGCGGCTATCCCCAAAGCGTATAAAGTATAAAGTATATAAAGTATATGCTGTAGCAGTTCGGCTGGTGATACTAAATAGCACTAAAACTTGGCCATTACTAAAACAGGGCAAAGATAGACTGTCGGTGTTTGAACACCATTGTCTACGCAGCACTGCACGAGTCTGGATGGGGTAACCGGATAAGCAAGCCAAGGTTAGGAGCAGTTTTGATGATCGCGATCGCTCACTAGAGCAGGTCATCCTCAGCATTGCACATCGAGGCGAAATTCGCTGATCGCTGCCAAGCTCAATGTATACAAAGTGAGAAAGTACAAAATGGATACGGATTGGGTCTAATTGGAAAGGCAAATGGCCGACCACTATAGATTACATCGATTGGGGCGTGTTACGCATGCCACTGTCACAGAGCACGATTTTTGCGAAGGTGGTGGGTGGGAAAAGATGAGGGTGGTCAAACTAAGACCTGGCATGAAGATATGAAGAAGCTGATCAGGCGACTTTTACAAAGGTCGCGTTGGGCTTCCGGGATCTTTGTGATCAACGGTTAGTGACACTGAATGGTATGGATAACTTTCCTAAACAGTGGCGCTCGTGCATCTCAGTTTCCTTGTTATATGAGACAACCGGAATTCTCCATTCTCTCTTCGAAAGTGCTTTCAACGTTTCAACTTTTCTTCAATCCCTTTCATCCAAATGGGCAGTCAGAAGACAGCAATGAAGACCACCGCACCAAAGTAAAAACTGAAACCGGCAGAGCAACAGGGTAGTGGGGATAATCTTGTTTGTCGATGGGTAGTCGAGCCTACCCAGCAAAAAAACTCATATTCCCAGTCAATGATGCGGATTATCATAATTCAATGAAGCAACTACTAAATTTTCGCGGTTAACCATCCAAGTGGCCTTACTTAACGTAACCTGAGTTAAGCAAAGTGATTATCAGTATACCATATATTGTTTCAAACACGGGTGTTCAAACTGTCGGAAAATTCACGATAAAGTACCATGTATAATAAAGATATCGGCCAAATTAACCTTTCTCCAACTTAGATGCCGGGGAATTTTCAGTCTCACCTGTCATGTTTCAACGGAAAAAAAGCAAATGTGATTAGGTTACTCCATCCTGGCGGGGCACAATACACCAAAGATGAGCTTGTGACTCCACATAAATCTCCAATACAAGACTCAGACAAAATTACTTACAGGTCCTATTGGAACGATGGGAAAGGTGTAAATGAGTAAGAAATAAGACAAAGCAATAACGAAAAAGGATCAAGTTCAGTTACGCTTCATAAATCCTCAGTACTGTCGGGGTGTCTCGAGTTGTAATTGATCATCATTAGTGAAGCGAAATTCACTGACCGCTGCTGAACTCACAATGCATACAATGTTAATGGTATTACTTAAGGTGGACATGGACTGGATCTACTTTGAGGGAGGGGGAAGAAGGTGAATCTCTGTGGTCAACAGAGAGTACACAAACGAACTGTGCATACATGCCGTTTTGAGCATTTTGGTCTGATGAAAAATGACAAGAACGTCACTGCTGTCGGTTCACTGCCATATCCTTCAGTGACTTCAACCATCAGTCCACTCAAGGATGAAACTGCTACATCATCTAATTTAGATTAGTAGGCTTCGCTGTCTAGGGCACGTATTGCTTATGTCCAACTGTCGGCTGGCACACCGCGCTTCATTCGCTGTAGCCGCTCCGGGCTGGTGGGAACCCCGTTGAGGTCAACAGATGACATGGAGACG